GGTTTTCATCGAAAATTCTTATATAGTTAGTCGGGTTTTTAGCACCTGTGGTTTTCATATCTGGTCTCCTCTTTCAATATCTAACTTTGTTTACGAGATTGAGGAAAGACAGCCGGACGGATTAATATAAATCGGCAAAAAGATTAATTTTGATGGTAGAGAAGAATTTTATAAAATAAGTAAATGCTAATAACGAGTAAAATCTTTATTAAATCCTGGCTATTTGAAACACAATGTCACGTTTCTATCTTTTTATCTCTTCGACCTATAACTACGAAAATTTAATGGCATCAATGCTTCTTATATACAGGTTATCATGTCAAATTTCGCATTTATTCGTTATACCAGCATGAGATATTAAACGAAATAGAGAACAACGCACACACATTCACACATACATACATCCTTGAATGTATATATGTATACATTCTCGTATGTATACATTCCAGGAATTCCTTCTTTCAAGAAATTCCTTGAATGTATTCAAGAAATTTTTTTTCGATTCAGGTGGTCTCAAAACACGACATTTGAAAAATATCCGACGGGTCAAATTTATATGATTTCAATACGTTCCCTTCTCACGTTCCCACAATAGCCAGGGATTTAAAAAAAGAATTTCCTATACATATTTTAGATGTTCAATCAGTAAACAACTTAAAGTATTTTGTTTTATTTTCCCAATTGTTATGTATACAGCTTACTTGTATAACAAGAAAGAAAGAAAGCATAGAAATTGTGCCATATTTGACCCTCAGGGGCTTTTCGCAAATTATCATGTATTGAGACACAATAAACTTAAAAGAAAGTATAAACCAGGGCTGTGGAGTCGGAGTCGGAGTCGAAGTCGGAGTCGGAGTTGGAGTCGGTAGATTTTTATGCGTCTCCACAGCCCTGGTATAAACAAAAAACAGGAGGAATTTCATAGATATGTAAAGTACTGTACGTACATTCGTAAATGTCTGTTTATTAGGGTCTATTTCATTTAATATATATGGATGAGGCAAACACTAAAAAAAACTTCTCATGGCAGCTAATATAAAGAGAATTCATTGGTGATGATAAATTTTGATCATTAAAGATCGAGAAGGTGAAAGATAGTTGTGGTCACATGTTATACCTCCATTGAGGATGGACTTAATGAAGGTTTTAGTCTTTATTAGTATGTACAAATTTTTAAATAAAATTTATCTTTATCCTCAAAATAAATTACTCCATTTTGCCACTTTATAATAAATAATAATATGAACTTTTTTAATAACAAAATTTCATAAAAGACGGCGCCACACACAATTTTATTTATTATGATTAATAATATAAAATTTATTTTTAAAACTAGCAGGTGGGCCCGGCGTTGCTGCGGCAAAAGTAACGATAACTAAGGTAAAGATTATTACGTTACAGTAAACCTTACCCATTTTCACAAAATGCAAGAATTGGGTCCCCTTGTTTCCACACTAATTAGAGAATTTTTAGATGGGTCTAAAAATATGTTTGATTTCCCGCAAAACGAAAAAAAACTGCATCTGCGTATTGCACGTCGCTTTCTCTTAACAATTCCATTGTTACTTAGCACTTCCATTGTTACTTAGCACTTCCATTGTTACTTAACACTTCCATTGTTGATGGAAGTGTTAAGNATTACTCCATTTTGCCACTTTATAATAAATAATAATATGAACTTTTTTAATAACAAAATTTCATAAAAGACGGCGCCACACACAATTTTATTTATTATGATTAATAATATAAAATATATTTTTAAAATAGAATTATCAATACATAATAGCTGAGAAAGTTACGCAACTCATTGCTAAAACATTCAATCAACGAATCACTTTACTTAAATTATATTAAATTACAAGTTTGTCTTGATGCTATGTTCTGAATTCAGTGAATGAAATTCGAATAAAAAAATAAGGCATAACAATCAAAATCAAATCATTTAAAATACGACATTTAGAAACACACATTTAAAATTTTGTTGATACATTATATAATCGACAAATAGTTTAATTCATATTATTGTTATACTGATGATTTTGAAAATTATGTAAAATTTAAGAAAACGAGCAATTATTTATTGTAACATTGTCACAATACCTGACTGCAATTTTTAAATCATTTTTTTAATTTATTCAATTTAAAATGTATGCGCTCCACCTCAAATTAATAGTGCCTGGTCCCTGTACATCATACATTCTCTTTAACAATAGAGTCATGCCGGTCATCTAACTCCTATCAGCAGAAACGTTTTGAATTCAATCAACTTGTCTACTGGTTTTCATCAGAAATTCATATAAAATTAACCGGATTTGCTGCCCTTTGTTTTCCATACGTTGCCTTGTATTTCATCTATATAACTCCTTTGACGAAATTAAGAAATGACAGCCAGACGTACACAGGGGTGTGGGAAATTATATATTTGAAATTTTTTCAAATTGCAGCCCAATAATTTAATTTTGACATTTTAAGGATAGGCGAAAGACTAAAAAAAGGCAGTCGGAACATTACGTCAGCTAACAATCTAACAATGAAATCATCTGAGGCTCTGAGAGAACTTTCCTCATCAATGCCGAGTTAACTGTAATGACGTGAAAAAATTATACTTATTTATTTTATAAACATAAGCCTTGATGCTTTCAATCGTGTCCCAATGTTTTGTTTTCATGGCCCTTGTATATCCTTATCAATAAGTTTAATAACCTCATAAAATAACTATCTCTGTTGATAAACAATAGCAAATTTCACCCTTCTCTTTAGATGTTTACAGGTGAAATTTCGCATTAAATGTTTCAATTATTACACAAACTATTTCACAAAAAGTAAGAAATTTTCAAATCACTTATTTTCTACAACTCTAATAGAAGACCTGAGGTTTGCTCAGAAAGAATTTTTGATTTAACAAACGTTTTCAATTTATTTCCCTAAGACATCTTCAGATTTTGAATAAACTAAATTTAAAACATCGTTCAAAAGTAGAACATTCGGTTTTGAATTTTTATATTTAAAATATTTTAAATAAATCAGGAGAACGATTTTGAATTGAAATTATATCAACTTTTGATGTAAACCGTAAGTCACGTAAAATTAATTGGAGCTTTCTGCACCTTTGGGCTCCATATCTGGTTTCAGATTTCATCTAACTCCGTTTCTAATATGGACAGACATGCGGACAGACGAACGACAGTGGAAATTATCTGAATTACAAATGTAGAGTCATTAAGCTTATTTATTACGTTGTTTTTTACTAGTTCGAAATATAAAACCTAAATATGTAGGTTAAGAGTATGATGACCGCGTTATAATTTCATTAAACTCGATACGGAATATAAGATACTGTGAGTTTATAAAGTCTGTTGAATTCACGATAAGATACTAACAGTTTTTATGTATCAGTGTTCAAGAATTTCCTATGGCACATGCGGTAAGTATGGCAGTCTTCTGTAGTGTGATATGTGTGCCGTTTGCAGCCTCAGTGTTTCAAGAACATTCTTTAATGTAGGTTAAGTGGTGTGACGACTGTGCACGAAAAGATTACTGGCACTTATTATTATTTTTATTATTTAAGATTAATTTAACGGAGCTGCCGGATAGAGAAAGGTAGGGCTTGATACATGCGTGTCAGATTACTCATGAAAAATTCTTAGTGAGTTGCAAGCTGAAATAAGCATAGATTCTACATTGTGTTCCGCAATTCGGTAAATTGATGCCTTAACCCTCCTGTCTTTTGGCTATCATTATAGTTTGTTTTCACATTAACATTTTATTTTCTTACATTAAAATCACAAAATAAATTGATTCCTAACAAATATGCGCCTGTTTTTTCGATTACTCTGTATAATAAAGCTACAAATAACAGAATAGACATTCGGCTTGTTAAGTCCACTATTTACTATTAATTTAAAAGCATGTCATAGTTAAATTTTAAACTTATTAGTAAAAGAGTAAAGTTTAAAGAAATAAAACATACTGAGATCAAAATAATATGTAGAGAAAGTATATAAATTAATTGCTTAAATAATGAATAAAACATTGTTATGTGTAATAGTTTTATATTGTACTAGCTGCAAGGACCCGCTTCGCTGGGTTTTTATTTGTTCGTACATTTGTTTGTAATATAGTTTTTTTTTATACATAAAAGACTGTTTTTCTAAGTAATCTAGAATCTAGCTGCAAGGACCCGCTTCGCTGGTCAAAAAGTAACGATAGTGAAGATTAAGATAATTACATTATAGCTAATCTTACCCGTTTTCACAGAATGCAAGAATTNACTGGCACTTATTATTATTTTTATTATTTAAGATTAATTTAACGGAACTGCCGGATGGGGAAAGGTAAGGCTTGATACATGCGAGTCAGATCACTCGTGAAAAATTCCTGGTGAATTGCAAGCTGAAATAAGCATAGATTCTACATTGTGTTCCGCAATTCGGTAAATTGATGCCTTAACCCTCCTGTCTTTTGGCTATCATTATAGAGTTTGTTTTCATTAACATTTTATTTTCTTACATTAAAATCACAAAATAAAATTGATTCCTAACAAATATGCGCCTGTTTTTCGATTACTCTGTATAATAAAGCTACAAATAACAGAATAGACATTCGGCTTGTTAAATCCACTATTTAATATTAATTTAATAGCATGTCATAATTAAATTTTAAATTTATTAGTGGAAGTGTAAAGTTTAAAGAAATGAAACATACTGAGATCAAAAGAATATGTAGAAAAAGTATACAAATTAACTGCTTAAATAAAGAATAAAACATTTTTATGTGTAATAGTTTGATATTGTATTATATTATACGAATACTTAAAAAATTACAAATTTAAGAGATAAATATTTGCAACTTTTATTGCTAAATTTGGAAAAATAAGAAACAAAAGTACAAACGAAAGATGTAAAAAAAACTAAATGCAAAACAAATGATGATACAAATGGAAAAAAATTGTTGTATTTTGACCTTTTCCTAAAACCACGTGATTTTTATACAATTTATCATCACTCAACGATAAGTATCACATTAGAACAGATGAATAATTAAAAAACTTAGTATAGATGGGTAAAAGGGTGTAGGAATTAATAAGTGAGGATAAAATCATTGCAGGGTAGAACAAAAGTTCGTAATAGTCTGTCTTATTGGCAGGGTCTGACAGACAAAATTTCTATTGTATATGTATGTAAAATCATAAAGTTTGTTTATCGGTTTCAAAGTCTAAGATTTAAATAACTATTGATAGATGAGATTAGAAACTTACTGCGCCTACATTACAGTATATTCAGTTAATTGGTGAAGCGAGTTGATTCTTCTAAACATCGGATTATATAGAATGCTTTAACCAAGAAATATTTTAGAAATTCATTGGTAATTGAATTATTTTGCGCAATCTGGAAAAAGTATACAAGATTAGTAACAAAATTTTCATGTTAAGAAAGCAAATATAGAAATGGAACCAAAGAAAGAATATACTTGGAACGAGAAAGAGTTAGAAGAATTTCGGATGGCTGTTATAAGTGAGTATTTTTAATATATTAATTTATTTATTACTGCCTGCTTCATCGCTTACGTAAGAACCCGAACGTTATTCCACATTTTTTCATATCTGTGCTGCATATTATAATTTTTATAAGTGTATTCATTTTGAATATAGTGTATTACAGTAGGCCCCCTATAACGCTTAGATACGTTCTACGTTAATCGAATTTTACGTTGTAGGAATCATTAAATACATGAGCCAAACGCAGCCCGACACGTGTGAAGTTTACGGACTAAGGCTGTTTGAAAGGTTTTCTTCTATAAAATTAACCGATTCTAGACTAATTCCACTCAGCATTTCCAAAACACGTATAATTTTTTGGGA